CTCCCTCTGATTAAGAGGATAAAAGGTTTTTAGGTTTTTCTCCCTGAAGATAATAGGTAATAAAATCATTCATTGCACCTCAAAAGAAACTCCTTTGGGTGCATATTCAACTGCCAAAAAGCTAACTCTAGATTTTTTTTTCAATAAAAGGGCTGTCTGCCTTTAAAGTGCTAATACCTGCTCCCCAAGAACCCTCATCTGAGCCATCTCTTGGAATGCAGATTTCTGGAAGGAGCTATCTAAGCCAATCAATTTAACTTAGTTCACCTGTGACTTGCTACACCAGTGAGTTTTGTTACATGATATGTTTCTAGAAGTTAAGGAATGTGTTTGCCAATCTAGGAAATGCTAATTGCTTACTTTTAGTTTTTCTCCCTACCTTATCACTCCAGAATTTGGCAGTTCTTAATGAGTGAATCCTGGCAATATGTTTCTTTGCATAAATTCAATAAGAACAGTCTTCACTTGTGGTATATTAATTAAGACTTTAACTAAAATGCTATGTCTGAGATAGACATGCATGGACTCTGGATGTCAGCAGAAAGTTTAAGGGATTGAGATTGACTTCCAAAGCCCCCACAGCAGAAATGGTCCATTACCTTGCTTGGTCACGTGATTTCCAGGTAAGAAACAAAGGTTGCTTCCCTGAAAGATGGCAAGAAAGGAACCTCAAGATATTTTTGGAACCTCAAGGACTTGAGGAATTTACACAGACCTACAGGTATCACAGACAAAACCTGATGGTAACTGTAGCTTGGCTTCTTTGTCCTGAGGAACTGATTAAAGGTCAATCTAAAGATTCCTTGTGAAAAATCCCAGCAAAGCAGACTTGAAAGAACACATGTGATTGATTTGATCAATTACTGTTCTTATTGTCACCTCTGCTCCAGTCTGGTTAGTCTTCAGCAAAGGGAAATGCAGTCTTCAGTTTTCTGTGAAAAGGGAAAGTGCACACACAAACCAGAGGGGAGCTGACATATAGAGAGAAGTCCCCTCCCCTAGTCCATGATATGGGAAGCCGCCTATTGTCTTCTCTAGCAGAGAGGGTGGACAAAGGAGCCTGGAATGCTGGTGACCCTTGAAGCCCTGGCAAAGGTCAGGGCTATGCACCCACTGTTTAGTCAAGACAATGATAGCTGAAGCAACTTCCCCACCAGATAGTCATGTAAATCCTTACTGATAAGATAGTCTGTTACTAGAACTTGCCTGCCTAAGGGCTTTGGGTGTATCCCAAACTCAATAAAATGATGGCAAGGCCTGAGCACAAGCGGAGTCCATCCTTTTGGGATGGGCTCTGGCCTGGCCCCCCAATTTCCAAATTATCTCTTGTCTCTTTCATTTGTGTGCGGCCCCTCTTCCAGATCCTGAACCCTGAACCACGCAGGATGTGGGGGAACATACACATCTACACACAATTGGACTGTTCTCGTGTAAATGAGAATTCCCAATCCTCACAATTTGATTGGTCCAAAAAGCACTGTCCTGATTGGCCAAAACAGAGTTGCTCTAATTGGTTGGTGAAGATGCTAATGAGGATATAGCTGCACAGCTCCAACTGGATAGGTAGTCTCAAACCTATTGGTTGAAATAGGATTCCAGGAACTCCTTTATAAGAATTGGCTCAGCTGACAGGAACACAATGCAGATAAATAGCTTAGTGCCAGAGGCAAGTAGTGTAGTGCAGGCTTCTCCCTTAAGTGTGGCTTGCATGAAAGGTCCCTTTTAGCAACAGCTGCCAGTCTGTTTATAAATTTGAGCCCAGTTAGCCATTAGGAGCCCTTTTCAACAGGTACATTTATTTTCCGGGTCAACAAAACTTTCCTTAAACCTTCAAGAGGGGATGGTAAAAACAGCCTCATATAAATTGTGAGGATTAAGTGACTCACTATACATGTTACAGAAGAACAAAGAAATACCAAGCACACTTCCTGGAGAAAGGGAGGAACCCATTTATTAACACTAGTGGACTCTGGGAATAATTTCCAAATCAGAGTGAAGTAACAGCAGAGGGTCATTGTCTTGCAGATGTGGTTCCACCCCCTTCTGTGGCTTACAGGAAGGCCCCCAGGTGTCGATGATGTCCTGAGGCCAGTAATAATGACCTTTCCCACCCCTACCCCCTGCCCCCGGGCAATGCATTGTTCACAGTTTTTATGGCCTGACACGCCTTGCAAGACCAGTTTCCTCCTCATACACAGGGTGCTTACAACAGTACCTGGCACAAGGTATGCCCTTAAATGTTAACTGTTCTCCCCAGCAATGTAGCTGGAACACTATGGTTTCTGGGGTCAGGTAGGTTTGGATGGCCATGTGTGGACCTAGGTACAGATTGGTCATAACAATATAAAAACACTTGGAAGCACAAGTCTGGCATGTTTTAGTTAGATCTGATTAGGTAAGCAGGCAGCACAAATGCAACTTGTACATCTTAGAACACTGTGTACTTTTCTCATTATTTTCAGAAAGACACACTGAAAAATACTTTTTATGGCAACAATTTTTAAAAATAGTGATATGTGGTGTACAGGGTAACACATAAAACAGGGAGGATATGTCTGCATGACCAAATCCTGGAACTTGCAGAGAATGGCCATTTGCACAACTGAGAAGTCCTTGAGTGATGGGGAAAATCAAGCTTTGTATTTCTTTTCCCTTCACAAACTGGTATAAAAGTATTAAAAGCAGAAATATTACTGCAAATATATTTAGCAGGAGTTGAGATCAGCCAAGAAACTGGGAACCCTCCCACTGCAGGTGAGAGAATTTTGTTTCCATATGTCCTGCTGGCTAATCCAGTGCTTCAAGGGAGGGAAGCACCAAGTGCAAAGGAAAAAAGGAAAGGAGAATTAGGCAGCTAGAGGCTACCTATTCTTAAATTCATGTTTAAGGGAATTGTCTTCTTAACCTAAGGCATGCAGCAGTTTGGGGCTATTTTATTCTAAGACTCTGGGGCTCAAGCACAGTAACCTGTGAAACCAAGCCTGATGCAAGGTCAGGGTGCTATTTTAAAAGCAGTTGCTGAATATGGAGGAAGGTAACATCTTAGGGAGATTCCACTGTCAAAGTTAGGCAAACTCAGGTGGACAGGGAGAACCTAGGTGCAAAATCAATCAGCTGGAGATGAGTTAAGACCTAACAAGAGAGAAGGATTAAAGGAATTTAAAAGGGGGAACTTGGAGTAATTTTTTTTTCTCCTTGAGAGCAGGCAATTTCAGTGGCTGTTCATGGGAGTCTATAGTCACTGAAGAATGTAATAAAGTCTAGATGCTATTCCTCTACTCAAATGGTTCCCCAGGCTGAATGCAATTTGCACTTCCAATGGGTTTGCCCACTTGGCAACTCCAAAGTACATGAGGAGAGTACTGTAAGAGGTGGACCAAGGTCCATTCCTCTGGCTCATAGCTTAGCTACAGTCTAGGTGATGGGGTGTGGAGATTGGCTCACATATAAGTCCAGCACTTCCTCTGCCACATGCACATATTCATCATCTGGAAATGGCATAGTCTCGGGTGTGCTGGGAAGTCTTCTGAACTACGTGTGGCCGGGAGTAGTGGGGGATAGGCTGGATGTACTGAGAACTGCACATCACCAGCCCAAACTCAGTAACCCTGAAGGGTGGGTCCCAGTGGTCCCCACCTTTGTCCATCAGAGTCTATGTGGCCAGTCAGCAAGGCTAGAAAAGAGAGGTACAGAATGAACTGTTCTTAGGAATCTCTAATGTGTAGGGAGTAACCTGGCTGGGGGTAGGGTAAAGTCCCTCTCAATAATTGCTGAAATCTTGTCTAACACTTTGCAAATCAGTTGGTAGAGAAGGTAACTGAGGAACTCTACCTCAAAGTTCTTGAAAATGCATTTCTAGGGATGAGCCAAAAAGTGATGCTTGAGTAGGTCAGACTGCCCAGGCAGAGAGTGGGTCAGAGCCTTTTGAGAATTGGCTGTGGGGTTCCAACTTCTCATGTAGGTTGCACATCAGGAAATGACAAGTCACAGAACTGGAGGTAAACTAAAATACCACCAGGTGGTTGGTATTTGTCACACCTGAGGTTAAGCATGCCCCTGCCTGCTGTGTGTAGAGTAACTGCAGTACAAACAATTGGAGAATGTTTACAAAGACTAAGCCCATACTTTAGGTATCACCCCAGGGTCAGAGTCAAACTGAGGCCCAGAGGAACTGGGTAACACAAGAATCTCTGAAACCCCAGGCATAACTTCTAAGTTCTAAGTTCTGAAAGCTGAATTTGGGTGCAATATCCAGAATCATGGACTGTGTGTGAGGTTAGATCACTATACTCCCCAAGAACAAATGGGCTGGTATTAAGTGGCATGATGTTACCAGTTAGGGGTTGCTGAATCAAAAGAGGGACACACCATTCAAAGAACTGTCCAGGAAAGAGAAGACAGATAGACAGTTAGTGGACACACAGACCAGGGAGATCAGACAAAAGATGATTTGAAGCAAGAGGTGGGGAGCACAGTTTAAGTAAGTCCTGGGCTGATGCATGAGTAGTAAATACACTTTCTTTACTCTAGGTGTCTCTTATATAAGAGAATCAAATAGAGGGAAATGCTAGCAGACCATTTTCTTACCTTTTTGTTCCTTTGCTTTTTAAACTTAACTTTTACAATTTTATAATTTCTTTTAATAATGAAAATGTAAATTTGATCAACAAATTTCTATGTTGTTAATGAAGCTCCATTTTGCTTCTGATACTTGGTAATTCAGACTAATTACACAGTACTGCTATTCCGTTGAGGCAGTTCTTGAACCATGAGGAATGTTTGACATTCTAAAACTATCAAAACCCACAATACTGTAAAGCAGTGGTTCTCAACCTTCTGGCCCTTTAAATACAGTTCCTCATGTTGTGACCCAACCATAAAATTATTTTCGTTGCTACTTCATAACTGTAATGTTGCTACTGTTATGAATCGTAATGTAAATATCTGATATGCAGAATGGTCTTAGGCAACCCCTGTGAAAGGGCCGTTTGACTGCCAAAGGGGTCGCAACCCACAGGTTGAGAACCGCTGCTGTAAAGCTTGACTCTCAGTAAATAAAATGACTATCTTAATATAAGCTTTCATGGTTAATTTCTAGAATGGATTCTCTTAAATTCAATTATTCATATACTCATTCTCAAAGCCCTTCCTTATAAACTGCAATTATATCACTTTTCTCCAAAATGATGTTTCTGATGCTGAATGAGGTTTGCAGTCTGGTTGAAGGCTTTCCCACATTTATTACATTTGTAGGGTTTCTCTCCTGTGTGAATCCTCTGATGTTGAGTAAGGTGTGTGCTTCGGATAAAGGCTTTCCCACAGATTTTACATTTGTAAGGTTTTTCCCTAGTATGAATTCTCTTATGTTGAGTAAGGGCTGAATGGTCACTGAAGGCTTTCTCACATATATTACATGTATATGGTTTTTCCCCAGTATGAATTCTCTGATGTTGAGCTAGGGCTGATTGGTCCCTAAAGGCTTTCTCACACAAACCACATCTGTAAGGTTTTTCTCCAGTATGAATTTTCCGATGTCGAGCAAAGGATGAATTATCTCTGAAAGCTTTCCCACATTCATTACACTTATAAGGTTTCTCTCCAGTATGAATTCTCTGATGTTCAGTAAGGGAAGAGTTCACCCTGAAGGCCTTTCCACATTCATTACATTCAAAGGGCTTCTCTCCAGTGTGAATTCTCTGATGCTGAAGAAAACTTGTACTCTGGTTGAAGGCTTTCCCACATTCATTACATTTATAGGGTTTCTCTCCACTATGAATATTCTGATGTTTGGTAAGATGTGCCCTGCACACAAAGGCTTTGTCACATATATTACATTTAAAAGGTTTCTCTCCTGTATGTATTCTATGATGGTGGGCTAGGTGTATATTTCGGATAAAAGCTTTTCCACATAAGTTGCATTCAAAAGGTTTCTCTCCAGTGTGGATTTTCTGATGATAAGTAAGTGAGGAGCTCACTGAGAAGGCCTTGCCACATTCCTTACATTCATATGGTTTCTCACCAGTGTGAATTCTTTGGTGATGGATAAGGTGTGTACTCTGGTGAAAGGCTTTCCCACATTCTCTACATTTGTACCGTTTCTCTTTAATAAGAGTTTTTGGATTTGAATTAAGTTTTTCAGTATGAATTTTCTGATGTTTATTAAGAGTTGAACTCTTAGTGAAAACTTTCCCACACTCACTACAGTCAAAGGCTTTTTTGCTAGATTGAAATACCTGACTTTGAACAAAAGATGAGCTCATGATGCAGCGATTCCCAGATCTCTCACATTCCTGGTCACTACCCACAGATGAGATTTTCTGGTGAGTGAGTACCATTTTCTGCAACTTTATCTCCTGGGCTTCATGCTGCCATTCCAATAGGCTATCATATTTCCAGTGACTATTGCTAGTTAATCTTTCCTTTATCATCCACTGATCCAATTCTTCTTCAGGAATATCTGCCTTGAGAGTAGATTTCTTACTCACAGGGATAGTCATCCAGTCTGAAAGACATCAAAAATAAAAATGTCTGTTTTATCCTAGTGAAACATCTAGTTGGGGTAAGATGATGAGCCTGTTTATAATGCTAATAAAAAGGTTGCAGTTTTGAAGATTTCCTGAAGAAAGGAAAGAGGAGGAGAGGTGAACAGAGGACAAAGCAGAAAGGAGTTGATCTAATGTATAATGCATTGAGCAGGAGACCTTGGGAGCTTGAGTTCAGAAGTCACAGGCCTGGGGGGGGACCTTGAGTATAAGTTATTTTATTTGTGATTACAGAGAAGTTATCAGACTTTCTGGGCCACAGAAAAACTTGTACAGACCAAACTATGTCAACAGTTAAGAATAAATGTACCTTGTTTATTTTAGTGATATGGTCTTTAAATTAATCCAGATGTAAACTTAAGAAACCATTGAAACTACAGGCAACACTAAGCAGAAAAAATTCAACTCCTGAGTAACTACTAAAATCAATATTTTACTGTTTTATACACTCATTTTAGCATTCAGATGGATAATAAAAAGGCTATGATTAAGGTTGTGTGAAGGACCTCCTACTACTGGTGAGGAAGCAATGTCTTCAAACTTATATGAACAATGTAACATCTATATGAAAACCAGGAACAAACCTGCAAATCTGCCAGAATATACCCACTACATCTCTAAAGGCAAGGCCCTGAATCCAGGGAAGGGGGGATACTAGTCACTAGAATGGAAATCTGCTACTGGGATAGGAGCCATGGTCCCATGAATTATCTGACAAAGTAATTCCTCTCTCCAAATACAAACTTCCCAATTATACTGTCTCACTTGCTTTCATTCATGGGTTCCTTGGTATTTACAGAGTTCTGAATGGCATATTAGTTTTGCATATGTTTTGGTGAATATCTGCCTTTCATGTTGTTTGTTTAAAACTCTGTGTAAAGATATGCAATAATAAGGACTAGCTACTAAACACACATGATGCAAATTACTGGGAAGTGCTATCAAGAACAAGCCTCCCTCATTACTTTTTTCCCCTACTTAATCCAGAAAATCTACAAAGAGCTATAATAAAAATAAATAAATAAATAAATAAATAAATAAATAAATTCTTTGAAACTTATCTGAAAAAGAAAGTTAAATAGATGCACTTTACGGCTAAATATCCGGGTGAGCTCAGAATAATGTATCCTTGCTCAAAACAAAGAATGGTCAAAGTTAAACACCAACATTGCCAAATTTCAAAATCTTAAGGACTGACTTGCACCTCCGGATCTGATAGAGTAACCTGGGACAGACCAATATTCCTTAGAAAACTACTGGAAAATCTTAAGTGAAAATAAAAAATTATGTCTAAAGGCATAATATGTCACTTGAAGCCAACTTGATAGTCTAATTTTGTGGAGAGAAGGGACATACAGAGATGTGATCCCAAAACTTAGTGCAGTGGTTCTCAAACTATGGGTCGTGACCCCTTTGGCAGTCGAACGACCTTTCACAGAGGTCGCCTAAGGCCATCCTGCATATCAGATATTTACATTACGATTCATAACAGTAGCAACATTACAGTTATGACGTAGCAACGAAAATAATTTTATGGTTGGGTCACAACATGAGGAACTGTATTTAAAGGGATAGAAGGTTGAGAACTACTGACTTAGTGGTTTTTACCTCACAGAATGTGCTGAATTCTTATGCTTCTCAGGGCAAGAGACTAAAAAACAGAGATTAAGAATTCCCTATAGTATTATAGTACTGTGAAGCCAAAAACTGGAGTTCAGGAACTTTAAAGTAAGGGAGGAAAGGCATAGTTAACATGTGAGGCTCTCATTTGGGACTCAAACATTTGCATTATAGGGATACCAGAAGGAGAAAAAAAGGAATTGAAAATTTATTTAAAAAAACAATAGCTGAAGACTTTCCCAAACTGGGAAAGGAAACATATATCCAGGAGGCACAAAGTTCCAAACAAGATGAACCCAAAATGATCTACACCAAGGCATACTATAATTACAACTGCAAAAGTTAAAAATAAAGAGACAATCTTAAAGGAAGCAAAAGGAAAGCATTAAGTTACACACAAAGGACATATCATAAGGCTGCCACCTGATTTATCAGCAGCAACTTTACAGGCCAGAAGAAGTGGCAGGACATCATTAAAGTGCTGAAAGAAAGGAACCTACAACCTGGAATACTATATCTGGCAAGCTTATCATTCAGAATTGATGGACAGATAAAGAGTTTCCCAGACAAGCAAAAACTAAAGAAGTTCATCACCATAAAACTAGCTTTACAGGAAATGTTAAAGGCATTTCCTTAAGCAGAAAAGGAAAGGCCATAACCAGAAATATGAAAATAAGAGAAAGGGAAAAAAATCTCACAGTAAAACCAAATCTATACTAATAATAGAGGAATATGCAAATTGTCTAGGATGCTGTCAGAGTAACAGTAATGACCGAACAGCAGACTGCATGGGGCGACCAGGCCAGCAGTGGGGGGTTAGTGAGGGAAGACAAAATGACTGAACAGCAGGCTGCATGGGGCAACGAGGCCAGCAGGGGGGCAGTTAGGGGCGACTAGGCTGGTAGAGGGGGGCAGCTGGGGGCGACCAGGCCAGCGGGGGAGCAGTTGGGTGTGACCAGGCTGGCAGGGGCGTAGTTAACTGGGTGATCAGGCCAGCAGGCAGAGGTGGTTAAAGGTGATCAGGCTGGCGGGGGGGAGGGGGGGGAGCAGTTAGGGGTGATCAGTCAGGCAGGCAGGTGAGCAATTAGGTGCCAGCAGTCCCAGATTGTGAGAGGGATGTCCGACTGCTGGTTTAGGCCCGATCCCCGACATCCCCCGAGGGGTCCTGGATTGAAGAGGGTGCAGGCTGGGCTGAGGGGATCCCCGCCCCCCTGCAAGAATTTTGTGCACCAGGCCTCTAGTATTTAATAAATACAGTGAATCAGATATTTATGAGACCACTGCTATAACTCCTCACCTACAGAGCCTTAGCTGTGAATCAGATATTTAAAAAGCTACTATGATGGTCAAAAGAAAAAAGTATCAAACTCAATTCAAATGACAATAAGTAGTTAGGAGATATACCATACCAAAAAAAAATTTAATACATGGCATCAATAACGTAAAGCAAGGAGAAGGCAGTTAAACTATAATTCTCATAGAATATATTTGAACTTAAATGCCTATCAGTTTAGAACAGACTGCTATAGATATACAATGATATACATAAACCTCATGGTAGCCACAAACCAAAAAACTACAGAAGATATACAAAGAATAAGGAGAAAAAATCCCACTAAACAAAACAAGCAAACCACAAAGGAAGAGATCAAGAGAAAAGGAAAGGAAAAGGAAAATAATAAAAACAATTAACAAAATGACAGTAAGTATATACTTATCAATAATTTCTTTAAATGTAAGTGAATTAACTGCTCCAATAAAAAGACATAGGGTGAGCCCTGGTCTGTCTGGCTCAGTGGGTAGAGCTTCAGCATTTGAACTGAAGGGTCACATGTTCAATTCCCAGTCACAGGTGCATATCTCAGTTTCAGGCTTGATCCCCAGTCCTGGTGGGGCACCTGTGGGAGGCAACCAATCGATGTGTCTCTCTCATGTCAATGTTTCTCTCGTTATCATTCTTCCTCCAAACTCCCCTCCACTCTCTCTAAAAATACCAATGGAGGATCAGAAGCCTAGCCTTACCTTCCGAAGAACTCGGATACCTCCCACGACCCTACAACCACAACACCCAGGGACCAGCTGCAAACCCACGAACACCAGGTCTCAAGCAGTGTGAATACGTGGATGCGGGCGAGCCCTGCACCTTCTCACGGAAAGGTCAAATATTGCCTAGAGAAAGTCAACACAGGAGAGAGAGAGAGCTACATAACCAGACACCCGGAGAAGAGAGATCATGGGGAGACAAAGAAACAGCCCACATATCAAAGTAAAGGAGGCATCACCAGAAAAGGCAGTAAATGAAATGGAGGCAAGCAATAGGTCAGAGAAAGAATTCAGAAAATGGTCATAAGGTCGCTGAAAAGGTTGGAAAACAAATTCAACAATATGTGTAAGAACCAAGAGGAAATGAAGAAGAACCAAGAAGAAATGAAAAATGACATCACTGCTACAAAGAACTCAATAGAAAGCATCAACAGTAGACTAGAAGAAGCAAAGGACGGCCTCAGTGAGCTAGAAGACAAGGTAGGAAAAAATACCCAAGCAGAGCAGCATCTAGAAAAAAAACTTAAAAAACAGGAGGAGAGCCTAAGGGAACTTTGGGACAACATGAAACAAAATAACATCTACATAATAGGGGTGCCAGAAGGAGAGGAAACTGAGCAAGGAATAGAAAACCTGTTTGAAGAAATAATGACAGAAAACTTCCCTGATATAGGGAAGTAAAAACTCTCACAACTCCAAGATGCTCAAGGAGTCCCCAAAAAAATGAACCCAAAAAGACAGATGTCAAGGCACATTATAATTAAATTGGTAAACACCAACGACAAAGTAAGAATCTTAAAAGCGGCCAAAGAGAGACAGAAAGTTACCTACAAAGTATCCCCCATCAGACTAGTGACTGATTTCTCAACAGAAACACATCAGGCCAGAAGGGAATGGAATGAAATATACAAAGTCATGCAAAGCAAGGGTCTGAGTCCAAGAATACTGTACCCAGCAAGGCTATCAATCAAAATTGAGGGTGAAATCAGGAACTTCACAGACACAAAAAAGGACTAAGGTAGTTTATTACCACCAAAGCAGCAATGCAAGAAACGCTAAAGGGTCAGCTGTAAAAAGAAGAAATAGGAAGTGAAGAAGGAACACAGGGGTAAAGAATAAAAATGGCGACAAACAAGTACATATCAATAACTTTAAATGTAGATGAATTAAATGCCCCAATCAAAAGATTGAGCTGAGTGGATAAGAAAACATGACCCATATATCTGCTGTCTACAGGAAACCCACCTCAGAGCAAAGGATTCACACAGACTGATGGTGAAGGGATAGAAAAAGGTTT